CCAACATGACAATAATCCCAAACATACCACCCGGGAAGTGGAGTGGCTTCGTAAGAAGCATTTCAAGGTCCTGGAGTGGCCTAGCCAGTCTCCAGATCTCAACCCCATAGAAAACCTTTGGAGAGAGTTGAAAGTCCGTGTTGCCCAGCGACAGCCCCAAAACATCACTGCTCTAGAGGAGATCTGCATGGAGGAATGGGCCAACATACCAGCAACAGTGTGTGCCAACCTTGTGAAGACTTACAGGAAATGTTTGACCTCTGTCATTGCCAACAAAGAATATATAACAAAGTACTGAGATGAACTTTTGATATTGACCAAATACTTATTTTCCACCATAATTTGCAAATAAATTCTTTCCAAATCAGCCAATGTGATGTCTGGATTTTTTTTCTCACTTTGTCTCTCATAGTTGAGGTCTACCTATGATGCCAATTACAGGCCTCTCTCATCTTTTTAAGTGGGAGAACTTGCACAATTGGTGGCTGACTAAATACTTTTTTGCTCCACTGTATTTTTTTTTTTTTAAGGTATTTTCCAAAACATATTCAAGCTATAGTTATATAATGGATATGGGCTGAAAGTACACAGGTTTAATTTGAGGGCATGTACATCCAAATTGGAGGAAGGGTTTAGGAAATAAAGCTCTTAAGAATAGCCATTCCCCCTTTTTCAAGGGACCAAAAGTAATTGGACAAATGAATATAATCATAAATAAAATGTTCATTTTAAATGTTCAATATTTTGTTGAGAATCCTTCTGGCAATGACTGCCTGAAGTCTGGAACCCATGGACATTGCCAAAGACTGGGTTTCCTCCTGATGTTTTGCCAGGTTCTAACTGCAACTGTCTTCAGTTGCTCTTTCGTTTCTGGGTCTCTCCGCCTGTAGTTTTGCCTTCAGCAAGTGAAATGCATGCTCAATTGGATTGAGATCAGGTGATTGACTCGACCATTGCAGAATATGCCACTTTTCCTTCAAAAGCTCTTGGGTTGCTTTTGCAGTGTGTTTTGGATCATTGTTAATCTGTACCATGAAGAGCCGTCCAATCAATTTTGCTGCATTTGGCTGAATCTGGGCTGACAGTATCTCTAAAACACTGCAGAATTTACCCGGCTGCTTCTGACTTCTGTCACATCAATAAACACCAATGACCCAGTGCCACTGGAAGTCATGCATGCCCAAATAATCACACTGCCCTCACCATGTTTTGCAGATTATGTTGTGTGTTTTTGATCATGAGCTGTTCCAAGCTTTCTCCAAATTTTTTTCTTACCTTCATTCTGGTACAGATTAATCTTAGTTTCATCCGTCCAAAGAATTCTTTTCCAGAACTGGTCTGGCTTTTTTAGATGTTCTTTGGCAAAGTTGAATCTGGCTTTTCTATTCTTCAGGCTTATAAATGGTTTGCACCTTGTGGTGAACCCTCTGTTTGCTCTCGTGAAGTCTTCTCTTGATTGTAGACTTTAATAATACACCCACCTCCTGGAGAGTGTCCTTCACGTGTCTGGATGTTGTGAATGGGTTTTTCTTTACCATAAAGGATCCTGCGATCATCCACTACTGTTGTCTTCCATGCACGTCCATGCCTTTTTATGTTGCTGAGCTCACCAGTGCATTTTTATTTCCTCAATGTACCACACTGTTGATTTTGGCCATTCCTAGTGTTGCTGCTATCTCCGTTTTTGAAGCTTTGCAATGGCCTGTTTCACTTGCATGGACAGCTACTTTGAACGCATGATGTAGGTTCACAGCAATAGATTCCAAATGCAAACACCACACTTAAAATCAACTCCAGACCTTTTACCTGCTTAATTGATGAAGAAATAATTGAGTAGCCCACACCTGGCCATGAAACAGCTTTTGATTCAATTGTCCAATTACTTTTGGTCCCTTGAAAAAGGGGGGATGGCTACTCTGAAGAGCTGTAATTCCTAAACCCTTCCTCCAATTTGGATGTACATACCCTCAAATTAAACTTGAGTGTGCACTTTCAGCCCATATCCATTAAAGAACTATAGCTTGAATAAGTTTTGGTAAAAACCTGAAAAAAATCTAAAATTGTGCCTGTGTCCAAATATATATGGACCTAACTGTATCTCTCTCCATCTGTCCTATTAGATTCCTTGGCAGAATGATTACTAGGGCAGCTTAGGCAGCCCATTATTATTAACAAAATAAAGAAAAACAGTCGTTAACTGTTCTTTCAGAATTGACAGGCAAAATACACAGGGTTTAAAGCTGTACACATTAGGATTCAGATTTACGGATAACCCTGGCCAATCACAAGCAATGACCCTCTTAATATGATCTCTCAGTGCATGCAATGATATAGATATAATCATGCAGATTTTTGCCTGCAATGTTACCAGTACAAGTGTGGCTCTTTAAAAATGCACACTCTGGGACGAAAAAAAGAAAAAGAAAAAAGCTGTTTAACTAGTATATAATGCAGGACAAAAAAAAAAAAAAAAATGGATGCCAGTAAAGTTCAGCAAGTAGTATAAGCAATAACCAGTCTTTTAGATTTCATTAGTGTGCCCTGTATGCCTCAAGCTGAAATCTAGGTACGATCTTTATTACATAGTTACAGTGGTCCAGCTCAGACTAATCCAAGCATGCATCTCTCATACCCAAGGGACTGCTGAGGTAGTGGACAATCGCTGTAGTAGTTGGCACAACTAAAGAGATTACCAGTCATCTGTGCCTTGTGTCAAGTGGCTCCATTCTGCATAGTAACTGGGACCATGCTTGGCACAGTATTGACAAATTCTTTTTTTTTTTTTTTTTTTTTTTAATGGGGAAAAAAAAAAAAAAAAAAAAAAAAAAGGCATTTTATGATTGGACAAGGTTAATGACATCAAAATCTCCACCATGTCCAATCAGAAAAGGCTTTGTATTCACTGAAAAGACTCACACAGTCAATGAATAGTGCCATTGCCAGGAGAACAAAAGCCACAGGGAACCCTGAAGTCTCCAGCAATCACTGTAATAGTGGTGAGTATTACAGAGATTGTCACTTTTCACAACAGTCCTTCTGGGATGAGCTATGCATACTTACATTGTTACAAGCTGGATACACGTAACTATGAAATGAAGATCATACCTGGAATTCAGATTTAATGAAAGGTTTGAATTGACTTCCACATGTTAACACAGATCCTTGACACAAAGCCCAGCATGTACTACATACAGGCAATGCAAAAACTAGCACAAAAAAAAAAAAAACTCCTCAATTTCAAGTTTCAAAAATGGTTAAGGATTTTAGCAGTGAATCATACCACTAGAAAAAAAATAAAAAAAACTGACACGTCTAATTATATACACTACTGATTTACTATAATGTCTGTACATGAAAAGCACTTAGCCAGTTTGCAATGTTGCATCAGGGAAATTACCTAGCATCACCTAAAAATCAAAAAGTCACCATGCATTTACACAAATCTTAACATTAAGTACGTATAGCCAAAACTTTCAATTTTGGATAGAAGGGAAGGTACATACTTTACCAGATTTTCTTTAATAAAGATTTAAAAGATTTTTTTTTGGTAAATTTCTTCTGTTAGTTTGCTTATATAGGGCAAAATGACAGGTTGGCTTGAAAGCCTACCCCCTCTTATTCATATGTTCCCTTAATGCTTCCCCTATTATCCATATGCTCTATTTGTCTGAGCACTCAAATACTTAGTACTTCCCACTATTCTGACCTTCCCCCATAAAACATCTAATTTACAAGAGTTGATGTAGAAATTGAATGCAAGTGCCTTAAATTTTTACTATCAGCCTCTGGCAGTCTACTGTACAGTCTGTAAAGCAGAGCTCAGAGGGGGAGGGAGAAGCAGCACAAAGAAGCCAATTCATGGTGCTACCATGCAAGGAGCACGCCGACAGGAGGAGAGAGCAGATTAACAGCTGTGCCCATCAGTGTGCTGCTTCTCCTTTCACTGTCCAAGGAAAGAGCAACTGTCCTGTGTCAGCTCCCGCTGCAGGTGAAAGGAGGGAGAGCCAACAGTGGATGGCCCATAGTAACCTATGGGTTAGGTCACTGCTCGCTTCTCTCCCCTGCAACTGGCACAGGAGAGGTCAAGTAACCAGATTTGGAGCAGCCTGCAAATGAATATAAACATTTTTCCTCAATAGCTTAGTTAGAATAGCGGTCTAACAGGGGTTAGAAACTTTTCCTACTCCATCAAAAACATAATTATGGGACATAAATGTCTAATAATTGAAAGGAGATTCTAGTTCTTCGATTTGGCACTAGTTTCCATAATCGAAGAAGTCCATTCTAAACCTGTTCTCACCCCTATACCAACTACCGTGGACAGGAAAGCTGTGCAGACTTACCTAATCTATGGTTGCTTTTTTGTACAATTTTCCTTTAGGATTTACAAAAACCATATAATAAAGTCACACCTTAACACTTAGAATCTAAAGGAAAAATTGTACAATATATGGTCAGCTTAAGTGTGCCGGCTTCAGAGAAGAGAAAGGACAGAGGACAACAGATTCCCCATAGTAAGTCTAAGGGTAATGTTTCCATCCAGGCAATGCAGCCATTGTCGCTGCTCCCTTCTCTCTCCTGAAGCCAGTCGCAGGGTAGATCATGTGGCCGGACAGGGACACCCTTAGATTATGCAAGTATACACATTTCCTTTACAAGCTGGTCAGTATAGGGCTTACAATGGGGGTGGGAGCAGGTTTAGGCTTAGAAAAATTTAGACAGAATTTGCACATCACTGTTAGACGACATCAGACAAGCAGGTTAACTGGGAGAGACCAATTTGACACAAACAGCATGCGCAAATGGCCTAATGCACAATACTGATTTTTCTAAACTAGGGAAAGGGGTTCTGGAATTTAATAAACTCATGGCTGGTATGCAAAGCTGACATTTAGGATTGCCAGCAGTAAATTGCTTCTTCTTTTACTAATGAAAATGCTTCGAAGTAAAAAAAAAAAAAAAAAAAAAAAAAAAAAGGGAAGGGAAGGATCAGTACTTACTCCTTGGAGTCCCTGAAATTGAATGGATGGTCGTGCAGGTATTGAATTCTAAAAATAAACAGATAGAATAAGAACACATAATTAGACGTGCCTGTCACTATGGTCAACTATAATTAGTTCTACCAAAACTGATTTTAGGAAGATGCTAATGGTTTGGATTTATCCACCAGCTTCTTTTCTCCCAGAAAATAGGACAGTAAAATTGTTAGTTGACTACAAGACCGTCACTAAGATCTCATTTCCTCTCATATCTTTTACTTTCCAAAGAATGCTGCAGCAGGAGAGAGAATATCTACTATAAGAGCAAAGGAGACATCAGCAGATAAATCTTTGGTACCCAAACGTGAGACGAAAGATACCAGTGGATAAGATCAGCCATCTAGCATCCAACTGATGCTAAAAACAATCCTTGGAACAAAAGAAGAAGGCAGGATACCAAAAAAACAACAGCAGGAACCTTTTGGGAAACCCCTAGTCCTTGGCAACTTAATTGTGCATCCATGACCCCTGCATTTGGCCAACACCTGAATTCCACATCAATTTACCAGAAAAAGGATTAAAGCTGAATGCCAGGACAGTTAATAAATGTTAACACTTGGGAGTAAAACAGAACATGATTTTCCACACTAGCACAGTTTTTGACAATTTCACCTTTAAAATGTTTGACATTATCGTTGTATACAGGAAAAGCAGCTATGCTGGAGTACCATAAGAAGGGACTGAGAAAGTACAGACATCACTTCCAGTTAGTTTCCCGCACTAAAAACCATCTTGCAATGTGAACTGTAGCATAAAATTGACGTGCATGTGGGTGGGTTCAGGCATGTGTGTGACAGACTAGAAGTCTCCTGGCCTGTCAGTTAATCTCTCAAGCAATGGCGGGTGGGACAGACCAGAAGTTCCCTAGCCTGTCAATCAAGTTAAGCAGTGGGAGGAAACTCAATGTATTTATACCCCCACTACAATGGGGAAATGACACAAATGGTGGCCATGAAAGAAGTCGGAACCAGTCTGGAATATGTGTTACCTATACCTAGCCCTGGAAATGCAGCATTTCATTAAAGATTGACCAGTGGCTGATACTTTGGGGGGCTAATTTGCATAAGAAAGGACTTTTTTAATATGTAAAAAAAAAAAAAAAAAAAAAAAAAAAATCTGGTTTGCCAATGTTCCACAACACACACACCTTTGAAGAAATGTAAATAAAACCTAATACTCAGGACTGTCACTACAGATGACTGTTATTTTAATGTATTTGTACAAAGAACAAGCAAAACGGATCTAAATGTAGATATAGATTAGCTCACCAACTCACAAGCAGTTTATTGTGGCAGTCTATCCCTGCATCAGGAAAAGCATATATGCTGGGGGGTGGGTATCTACTATGCCCACTGGCTGCATACATTGTGTGCTGCACTAGTGCAGTCTAATCTGAGTATCATCCAAAACATGGGGCAGGACAATAGAACAATTGTTGTCATAACACAGTGCACATAAACATTTTCAGTAAAGAAACACCCATTAATTGTTTTCCAGAAGTCAAGAAAATAAAGCAATTAGATTATTCAGGATGTACACAAATACTCTATGAAAGTCACTAAAAAAAGGACAAGATCAGTGGAAAGGTAAACAATGTGGCAATGTGTGCTATGTTATCAGTATAACAATTCCAAAGGCTGGCTGTACTCTCCATTTGTGAGAAATAAACTACAAAAAAAGGTAAGCAATCCCTGTCCATGGTGCAAGGCTACAATACATCAGCTCCAAAATTACACTGATTACTAGTAATGCTGAGCAATCGGTGGACCACACAGCAGTAACAGAAGCTCTGGAGGACAATATCTTGTCTGAAAAGATTTGTTTTAATTACCAAAATGCAACCCCTGCTTTACCACCGGTTCACACTAGTGCAACTTCTGCTACTTCTTGAGTCACACAGAATCGCTTGACAAGGGAAATCACATTGGTGCCCATCCAAATCAACATGACTCAGCACGGTGCAACTTTGGAAAAAGGTTCGTGCACTAAAGTGACTGGCACAAAAATAAATATACATGTACACACACACACACACACACACACACACACACACACACACAGTAGCCCCCCTCCACTCCTCTGCAATTGCCATATCCATCATTATGATTAGCTGCTTTGCTGGAAAGTCAAGTTACACTAAAGGCAGCTATGTCTCTAGTGAATGTAATGAAAATATATGGCTAACATAAGCTACACATCCGATGCTGCAAAGCCCACCCATGTTCTGTATTACAGATAATTGATGACAGAATCAGCAATGAAGATGGCCAAGTCCAGCACCAGAATAGATCAACACTCATTAAGAGATTTTCATGCAACAGCAAAAGGTCATGGATTTTTGTCTAAAAAGTTTACCAAAATTTACTATAGGGAACAAGCATTTCCCTATATTTATGCAAATGAGTAAACTGGTTATCCATCTGTTAACCATAGTGTACTACTGTATCATTTGAATGGCAGGAAGCCAATTAGAAACCCAACACACTAGAGCACTGCAACAGACTGTCCACTGTAAAAAAGGTCTTTGTTCTTTAACCACTTGAGCCCCAGAGGATTTACCCCCCTTAATGACCAGGCCTTTTTTTGCTGTTTGGCGCTGCACTAATTCAAATGATAATTGCGCGGTCATGCAATGCTATACCCAAACAAAATTTACGTCCTTTTTTTTCACACAAATAGAGCTTTCTTTTGGTGGTATTTGATCACCTGTGCGCTTTTTATTTTTTGCGCTATAAACAAAAAAACCACAAAAATTTTGAAAAAAAAAACAATATTTTCTACTTTCAGCTATAAAAAATATATCGTAAACTCAAAGTTAGTCATAAATTTAAGCCAAAATGTATTCTGCTACATGTTTTTGGTAAAAAAAATCCCGTGCATTAGCGGGCAAACTGGCGCTATCTAGGAGGGGGCGCTAACACTATCGGAAGTCGCCAGTGACACCAATACAGTGATCAGTAAAAATCTGTTCACTGTAATCAATGACACTGGTGACAGGGCAGTGAAGGGGTTAACTGGGGGGGGGGGGGGGGCGATCAAGGGGTTAAACGGGATTACTGGGTGTACTGGCGGGCAATCTGGCGCTATCTGGGAGGGGCGCTCTTATCGGAAGTCGCCAGCGACACTGATCAGTAAAAATCGCTTCACTGATCAGTAACACTGGTGACAGGGCAGTGAAGGGTTAACTGGAGGGGGGGGGGCGATCAGGGGTTAAATGTGTCCTAGAGTGTTCTAACTGTAGTGTAGTGCTTGTGTACTCACTTTTTGTATGTCTTCTTCTCTGTCTGGAACGGAATGTGTCCAGGCAGAGAAGAATGACATCATATCCTGCCCTGTGTATGTCAACACAGGACAGGATAGGACAGGGATCGATCATGTGATTTCAGCCAGAAATCACTAGCTGAAATCTAATGATTGATCCCTCCTGGATCAAATAGTGTCACCCGCGGGTCGGCGGGAGCGCGCCCCCTGCCGGCGAAAGTGTCGGGAGCGCGGAACCCGTTTTTAAACGTGGTTTTGCGCTCCACTGCCGCCCTGCACACGTATATACACAGTGGCAGGGCGGCAAGCGGTTAAAAGAATAAAAGTTTACCTTTCGTAACATATTACACCCATACTCGCGGCGTAACATGTTACGAAAGGACCAGTTCCGCTCCCCATCAATCCCCCATTTTGACAGCTAGTGGGGGGAGAATCTTCTCTCCCTGCTAGTGGTCACAATTTTAAAAAAACGTGGCCGTGCAGGGCTGTGCCCACCTGGCCACGTCGCTCATTCACACTATTCTGTGATTGGGAAAACCTCAAGTTCCAACAGCCTTTGCAGCTGTTGCCTTGTAGTTCTCAATGAAATACCACGGCGCCGTGGTAGTTCATGGATTCTTCCTGTCAGTGTGATACACCAACAGGTCTTCAGTTCTATTGATCGCTGGTTCAATGCTTTACAGGCTCCCAAAACAAAAAAAAAAAAAAAAAAAATCGTAAATGCACATTTTTTAGCTGCAAAAATAACTAAATGTGTGCATTTATTATTTTTTGTAGAAGGTGAACTTATCCTTTAACCGCTTTCCCACTGTGGGCAGTGGTGGCAGTGGTGCGCAAAATCACGTATATATAAACATGATTTTGCATTTACGGGCAAGCCACGCTCACATCCTACCCACGCCACCATTCGTAGCCTCGGCTGTCATCACCAGGCCCTACTCTCCGGCACCCGGTGATCGCCGAGTATTACCAAAGGGGGAGAGAACTGCATGTAAACAATACAGTTCTTTCCCGTCGGCTCCAGCACACTGTTTTGTATGCATAGAGCCATACAAAGCAGTGTGCTTACAGTGGAAAGCACAGACACAGCCTCATAGTAAAAACACATACAGCACAGTGTTAACCCTTTGATCGCCCCAGATGTGAACCCCTTCCTGCCCAGTGCCATTAGTACAGTGTCAGTGCTTTTCATTAGCACTGATCATTGTATTTGTGTCACTGGGGTTGTCAGTGACATCAAGTCAGTTCCCCCCAGTGTCAGAATGCCCGTTGCAGTGCCGCTATAAGTTGCTGATCGCCACCATTTCTAGTATAAAAAAAAAAAAAAATGTTTTAAATTACAGTATATATACACACACACCGCCATTTGTAAACACTAACTTTCACATAAACCAATTTACACGTATTTATTTCAGGTACTTATATAGCGCCATCAATTTACATATATATTATACATTCACATTGGGATTTTTTTTTTTTTTTTTTTTTTTTTAAGCACAGACATATAGCAGAATACATTTAAGTTTTTTATTATTGGACATGTTTAATAGCAAAAAGTCAAAAATATAGTTTCTCTTTTTTCAGTATGTAAATTTAATTTGGGTGCAGTGTTGCATGACCACGCAATTGTCAGTTAAAGTAACGCAGTGCCATAAATGTAAAAAATGGCCTGGTCAGGAAGGGAGGGAGGGGTTGGGTGGGTAAATCTTCTGGAGGGCAAGTGGTTAATGATCAGCCCAAGAGCTGTGGTCC